GGGAGGGGGAGGAGGATGGGGGAGGAGGAGGAGGGGGGCTCCACTGGCCAGCCCGGAACAGCTCACGCCCTCCCAGCCTCCCCCCACGAGAGGGTGATGCTCTTGGGGGGGCAGGTCTCCTTCTGGCCTCACCCTCCTTGAACCAGTTGGTTTTGTTGTTCTCTTCCTGATTCTCTTCCCAGATTCACCAGAATATTCTACTCCTATTTTGCCCAAATCCCTGGAGCCCTTCAGGCCTTAGTTTCTCCGCTGTAAACTGGGGATAATACTTGTGTCCACTTCTCAGGGTTGTTTTGAGGATGAAGTGAGAGCTCACAAGGAAAGCACGCAGCACAGTGGCTGGCACGCAGCACTGAGGAAGGAGTAATTCTCTGTCACTGCAGACACTAGAGGGTTGTTTCATAAGTGGCTTGGAGTACAGGGAGCATAAGCCTCCGCCTTCTCCTGCCTAACAGCAGTCCTCAATCCTTAGTGTATGTGAGAATCACAGCAGGTATTTGGTGATGTGGATTCCCAGACAGCACCCTGAGAAATTCTGACTCAGTGGGTCCGGTTGGCTGGGGTACCTGCTCTTGACCGCTGCCCCGTGGTGATTCCAACCAGGCCAATTCTGGGGCCGGTGATCTCTGTTCCACTTTGAACTGCTGATTGAGTGTCATTTTTACATGAGTGGATTCTGCAGTTAATGCCAAACACATTGGTCATCTGTACAAAATGCCTGGCTCATGTGATTCAATATCTCGCTGACATAGGAGACCAATAGAAGCAATTGGTGGCAACTCGGATTGGCAGCTGTTAAGCAAATTGAAGGTCTAAAGAGCAATTTTCTAGCTATATAAAGATTAGCTATTAGTATGTATTAACAGACTGTACAGTATGCATGGAATTTCAGAGTAATTGAGCTATGGCTTGAAAGACACCTAAAAAGGTTGACTTATTCCTTAATCAAGTAGCACATTTGAACAATATCCCATTTCTCCATTGCTAAAAGGAATGTGTGAGCCATTATCTGGGGCTCTCATTTCTGCATGTCATGTGTTTCCTGGTAAGGGGAAGGCTGGTCTTTCACTGCAGACGGGGCCCCAAGCCCTCTTCCCACCCAGCCTAGGAGATGCAACAATCACCAACAAACCTGGGGTTCCCAAGGAGCCACTTCCACACCTTCACCCAGGCCCGTCTGTCTCACGCAGTTCCATCCTGACCACAGTTACGCCACCACGAATGATGCGGGTTCAACTCATTTCCCTCCTGCAGGGATGCTGGGACAGGCCCTGGGTATGTGTCCCAGACAACGTGGTGCCCAGGATTTAGCAAAGGGTGACTGGCTTTGTACTAACACATTCATGTCTTTCCAGCATTAAGATTTTTGTTTGTTTTTCCTTCACTCCTTTTTCCTCTTTCAAGAAGGGCGGCCCATTTGTAATCATAATGGACAGGGACTAGCACACCCAAACTCATCGGCTGTTTGTCAAGGAACTTAAGCACCTGCGCTGCTTCTTAGGCCTCGAGTGAGGACCTGCCAATTCACAGAACAGCCAAGTAAAGTCATGGATGGGGACCTGGGGCGCAGAGATGAGTAAGACACCCTCAAGGTCATGACATCCCAGGGGTCAATGCCCTTCTGTTTGTAGAGCCTTCAAATTATTTTGAATGATCCCAGAGTCCTTGGAACACGGAGCTTCAGAGTTAAGAAATACTTTGTGGTCATCCGCTACCACACTGTGATTTTCAGATGGCAAAAGGGAGGCCCAGAGATGGGAACTCACCCACCCTCTCCCAAGAAGCAGCAGAGCTAAGACAGGAACCCAAGCCTTCTGTCTTTTTGTCTGCATGGCTACACTGTATAGCAAAAAGTGGGATTTTCTCATTCCATCCACCCAGCAGCCCAGGTCAGGGGTGCAGGGCTGGGCTCTGCGACAGAGCGAGGGAGGCCAAGCCAAGCAGCCACGGCAGTGCCACCTCTACGAGATGAGGAAACCATCCTTGCTACCTTCTGCCAACCTAAGAGAAGTGCTTTGTGACATAGGAGGAGTCACCATCAGTGGGGATTCAGAAACCAAACAGGAGCAAGTGGCCTATTTTATCTAGAACAGGGAACAGGAGGTAGCCCCCTGGCTGGCCTGATTTGGGAACTCAATAAAGAAAAGTGAAGCAAGAACTGAGGAAAATCTCGACAATTTTTTTTTCTTTTCTTTTTTTTTTTTAAGGACAGTGACTCTGCTTAATCCAGTGGAAGAAACTAAATGAATCAACTTCAGGGTACAATTTTTATAGAAAATCAGAGTCTCCCTGGCCCCATTAAATAAATACTGAACAAAGTGCAGAGTATTTGCTTCGAAGAAACAAGGCTTTCTCTGCCTAGGATGTCTGGGATTCTGCTAATTGGACTGACACAGGATGGAGGTCAGACATCTGGATGTGAATCTTAGCAATGGCCCTGACTAGTTGCATGACCTTGGGTCAGACATTTCCACCTGCCCAGCCTCAGTTTCCTCACCTGTAAAGTGGGGCTTGTCAACAACACGTACCACACAGACTGTCATAGGGATTTAAGGGATAAAGTCTGCAAAGGACCTAACATATCCCCTGGCCTGCAGCTGCTCTTAACACATGTGCAATTAATATTCACAGTTAAATGTTCTTTCTCATGGAAAAAAATACAGGTTTTTACTATGTGGCTGTTTCCATCAAGGGGCAGCAGAGCAGAGTGGTTCAGAATACAGACTCTGCAGCCAGACAGCCTGGGTTTGAAATCTGGCTCCACCACTTACTGGCTGTGGGCCTTGGGCAAGTTACTTCCACTCTGGGCCTCAGTATTCTCATCTGTAAAATGGGGATTATAACAGTACTGACCGCCTTCGATCACATGCAATGGTGAGAATACCTTACAGCATGCCCAGCGCACTACAGAAGTCACCAGTGCACCTTCCCTGGCCCAGAGAAGTCACTCTGCCTTCTAGAAATTTAGGCCAATGTGGTAATGAAAAGATGAGGAAATTCCCTGCATATACTTTTCCCACCAAGACCTTTGCCCTGTGGTGCCGACGAGCAGGGAGAGTGGCTGATGTGGCTTGTCCTTTCACTCCCCTGCCTTCCTTGGGTGGAGGCTACAAAGCAGAAAGTTCAGACCGTGTGGCCTCCCCCAGCCTTGGAAGGGCCTGCCTGCTTTGCCCCTTGATGGGCTTTGGGTTGGGGGGCTCACCCCTCCCTGCTGCCCAGTAGGTTGTTCTCTTCTGGCCTTGTTCCCCATCTCCAGGAGGGACACTGCAACCTGTCAGCGGCTCCATACTTTGCCTAAATCAGTCAGTTGACTCCCAGTTAGGCAGCCATGTCCCCACTAAGGTGCGGGGGGAGCCCAGCTCCAAGCAAGATAGGATTCCAGGGAAAGAGCTCACATCTAGCAGGGGATGCAGAGGAGGAAAGGAGAAGATCACAGCACGGTGTGGCAGCTGACAAGTGCCAACCGAGGGTTAGCTTCATGGCCAAAAGAGGATGCTGGTGTCAGACTCCAGATCCAGCACCTACCAGCGGTGAGGCCTGGGCTTTCTCCCCAAGCCTCTATTTCCTCATCTGTAAAATGGGCCAAACAGGATCTCCTGCCTCAAAGGTGGCTGTAAAGCTCAGGTGAGAGGAAGGAGGTATGTAAGTGCTCAGGAGACGGAAAGCTCAGCCCGTTATGCGGTGGTGTGAGGATAAAGACAGCCAGCCCGGGCCACACCCTTTCTCGGTGGGCATTCAGTTAATGGTGCCGCCGTCATTAAGCGCAGATGCTGTGGGTATGCAGAGCAAGAGCGCTGGGCCAGTGTGGGAGGGTAGGGACTCAGGAGTGAGCTGGGCAAAAGGCGAATGGCCATCCAAGTGGGGGTGTGGGGGTGGGTGGGAAACGGAGTGCAGACTCAAGGCAAGAGGGAGCGGTGGCTCTGTGAATTTGGATGGCTCGATGGCTGTCCCTGCACGGGCCGTCCTACGGGGCCAGCGGAGGCTGCCGCACACACCCCACCTCAGGCCCTCCAGAAAGGAAGCTTCGCAGACATAATTACACTGGTCGAGCAAGGAGGGGCGCTGGGGTCTTTTCTTTTTGCACCAAGTGGCATTCTCTGAGCCAAAGCAATGAACAGAGAAGTTCAGAAAAGCAAGTGGGGTCAGGGCCTGGGGGATGGGTCCTGGGGGGCAGGCTGATCTTCACGAATGAGTCTATGTCCTGTGGTAACTGAAGCCTCTAGGGAGGGCCCTCCACTCCAGGGAACAAAGGCACCTGGTGACAGCTTGGACAGGCCACCTCCACCCTCCCCACCCTCCCCCATGGCTCACCTTTCACTTCCCCTGCCCTCCGGTTCTCCTGCAACACCAGATGGTGGGGAATTCTCCCTCATCTACTTCTGTTTTCTTTTGAAAAATGTAAAAACTATAAATATATAAATATATTTTTAAAATATAAAAAAATATAAAGTCTCTGAAGAGGTGGCAGGAATACCTCTTCTCTGTGTCTCCTGACTGGCCTGAGGAAGGCACTGGGCAAAAGGGTCAGTGTGAGGTCTGGAGTGAAACAGAATGGTCTAGAAGATTCTAGATCAACTTACTATTCATTAACAAGTCTATGACCCCAAGGTGGCCAGACAACAGAAAACTGCATCTGTGATGTACCAGGCACTTAATAGCCACCATCTCATTTAATCCTCACAATAACCCAAGGTGCGTTCTCCCCATTTTACAGATGAGTAAACTGAGGCTCAGAGAACTTAACTACACCCAAGGCCTACGCCCGGTAAGTGGTGAGGCACCCTGGTGGTCCAGTTCTGGAATCCAGGTCGTCTGCTCCAAGTCAGCAACCCCCACGGGGACCTTCAGCTGATCCACCTGTGTGATCTCAGTCATTCCCACTGGGAAGAGCACACAGGCTGATTCAGCCCAGCTCTACCTGGCAGGGGTAAGTGTGCCTCTGGGTGCCTGGAAGACCCTTGGGCAATGATTACTGAATTAAACTCATAGGAGGGAAGCTCTGATTAACTTCCTTTCCTGAAGTTGTTATGGGGTTTAGAAATTCCTATAACTAATTGCCTAGGCAGGATATCCCATAAAGATCATCTGTAAATGGTGTTAAAGGGAAATCAAGTTTTCTTCTCGAAGATACTCCTGGTCTCAATTCTGTAAGTCATGGGGCATGTGACTTTTTGCCTTCTTGTCCCCTGAAGCCACATCTTGTTTCTATCAAGACTCACAGTGGGGAAGCTTCACACACAGGGAGGATGCATCTCTCCTCAGCTTTCATAAATCAGATTTTCAGGGAGGTTTACATGTGACTTCCAGCATTCCTCCAGTGCCATGTGGGGAACCTGGAGGGACCCAAAGGACTCCTGTCTTTCATGGACACCTGGGTGGAGTTCAGAACTGAACCAGCTTCTCAAAGGCTGCTTACAGCCCCCCACTGGCCAGCTCCAGGCAAGGCCAAGAGTACACAGGCGAGGCTCACAGATGGCCATGGGGGCCTCCTGAGATGCCCGTGACAGGGCCCAGCCCGTGCCCACCCGGCTTCTCTGGGGCTCTGCTACAGCTCTGTCAGCCTGGGGCGCTCTTCAAACTGGGCCAGAGTCCAGAAGGGCGGGGTGCTTTCTCTGAATTTTATAGGAACCTCTCACCAGAAACATCTGGAAACACGCAGGACTAAGTTGGATGCCTCAGGGTGAATCTTCAGCTCAGCCAGGCCACGCATTCACTGTATGGGCTTGAGAGTCACTGGCTGCCTTCCCAGCATGGCCCTCTACGAAATGGCCCTCTTGTTCCCTCCCTCCTTCCCCCTCAGCTCCCTTCCTTCCTTCCTCCCAGGACACTTGAGCTTCCTGTGCCTTCTTTGAGGAATGCTCTTTCCCAGACCTCGCAGGGGCACGTGGATGGCCATGTCATAGTGAGGACTTTGAGGAAGGGAGGATTCACAGGGGAGGCGAGAAGCATA